TGATCACTGGCTGCATCTGGTCACCCTTTTTTAGGACCAGAAAAAGGTTGCTCATGTATGCTATGCACATGTGGGCTATATTGCTCCTTTGAAGTGTAGATCCTGTAGTCCGGAGTTGACCAGGAGTTTGTCATACCTGGAGAAAACAATAGAATGGGGAGGATACAAGTGTACAGGGGTCCTTACAAACCTTCTACAGTGCCCTCGGACCATTTGGAGAATGGTCCGAGGGCACTGTATATGGTTTGTAAGGATTAGGGGATTTGCCCACATACATGGCAGCAGGAGGGCTGCCGTCATACTCTGAGGCAGATGCCATCAAAGCCTCCTCTTGAGACTGAATTCAGATTCCAAATCATTATCAGATAGTGCTCTGGCACTTCCATTTATGTGTCTGTTCTGCTTGAGGCGGTAAGGCTCATTTGCATTGATATTAACGCTATCAGGGATGGCTTTATGACCATCAGTTAACAAGGTTCTAAAGGCAGGTGCTGGCAAGTGGCGTGTCTTAGCAATTGCCTACGTGCCTGTGGCTGTAGGGTTCATAGGCTGGGGGCCAAATTGGGCAGCCAGGGTTGATACCCCGAGGGGGCAGGGTGTACCTGCAGCCAGTGGCGTACATACAGTGATCACAGCTGCGACCGGGCCTGTCACTCCAGGTGGCCCAGCCGCCCTGCAACTGGGTGCCCGCCACCATGTGTTTCTGCCCCGGCTCGCGTGTCAAACCGCCGGTGCCGCACGTTCAAGGGGCCCATCAGGTGGCCCATGTGGTTAGGGCCACCAGATGGAGATTAATTTCCAGGGGGCCCTGGTCAGTGCTGTGGCGCGACCGGGCCCCCTGTGATGACATCCCAGCTATCAGCAAGAGCCCACGTGGGAGGAAGGAGAGGGAGTCAGAGTGGGAACTCTGACTCCTACCAGCCTGAGCCACCACTGGACCCAAGGGAAAGTTACCTTCCTGCACTTAACAGATAGGAAAGAGGAGGGTGACATTTTTTATATGTGTGTGTTTTTGTTTGTATGTATGTGTTTGTGTGTCTGTCTCTGTGTATACGTCTGTCTGTATGTGTGTGTCTTTGTATGTGTGTCTTGTGTGTATGTATGTATATGTGTCTGTGTATATGTATGTATCTGTGTATGTGTCTGTCGGGGGGTGGGAGGGGGCATGGATTGTGTGTCCGCCACTGCTTGCAGCAATGCCTGGGTAATTAATTGGGAAATAGTAGAAGACCATTTCAGACATAATTTCATCAGTTAGGGAGAGCTGAAAAACAGCAGAAATGTCCTCAGGGCAAGTGGGCATGATCCTTGGGCTCAAAGGAGGAGGTAGGGTCAAGTGAGCAGCAAAGAAAGAGGAAGTTGGGGGCATGATCCTGGATTATATCATGATGTCTATTCATGAGCGTGCACAGCGTTTACAGCAGCAGATGTAGGACTGGGGATCTTTCTTCTTTTTTTTTTTTCATTTTTCTTTTGCATTTGGTTTTAGGGTACAGAATTAAGAGAGGGTAGGGGGATACAACGTTTCTTTGTCATATATACATTGCAAGCTTATTCAGTTGGGATCTTCCTTTTTAAAGCACTGGAGGTGGTGTGGTAATAGACATGGACAAGCAAGGATAAAGAGGTGCAGATTTCTATATTTACATTTTCACAAATCCATATTTGTGTCCGCTTGGCGGGAGCTCCAACAAAACACGTCTTGTCGGCTCCCTGGTTAGGCTCCGCCCCCTATAGTGGTCCTTTAATGTTAGACTAATCAAGGGAGGGAGCTGTATGCAACATTAATAATGGAAGGGGGGGAAATTTTACAGTGCATATGTATAAATTGTCTGTATTGTTGGATAACAATGACGGTAAATAACACTGGGTAATAACCATGCTTCAGCTAATAGGAGGAAGAGACAGCCATCCAGAGGTGTCATGTAATATAGATATACAGTTAATGCTAAATGCAGGAACACACAAAACAAAGTTCCCACCAAACCTGACGCATGCTACACATCTGTCTAAAAAGTGGTGATCTGGTAAATACTGGATACTATTAGCAGGGTATCAATAAGGGCCATGCTCGATGACAAACACGACATCAGAGGAGGGTTCATGCAACCAAAATTCTGTGTTATCGGGTAGAGTAACACCTGCTGTGCAGGTTCCCCTTCACACTCACACCTGCAATTAAAATGTTATCTAAAACTGACTTTACTCCCCCTCACTGCAGGGGAAAGGCTGACATCAGACATCCAATATGCACAGAATTAATATCAGTTACCCTGTACTCTTGTTTCCGGTTGATTAATGACGCCCCATCGATGCTGCTGGAGTTGGAGTGAAGTCATTGCTCGTTTCACACAGCCATGGCACGTCAAAGAAGATGTTATTAAAATTCTTATTAATTAAGTCTTCGGGGTAATCAAACCCTTTGCATCCTGTAAAAAATTACACATGGTTAAGGGGACCTCAATCTACTGATCAGGGAACAAATCACTTTAGCATGTAGATCCTAGAACAAGGATCACGTCAATATATGCAAATGGCATGAAATAGATTCAAAGAGTGATATAATGTGCAAGTGAATTAAATATAGTATAACAAAAACTGGCACTGTAACTTCCAATGTTCATTGTTTTACTTCCTATAAACAGTGGGGACTGATTTCCATTCACGAATTATATGCACAGGACCAAATTAGTCATAAGGAAGGCCTTCCTTTCCCGTCGAGTCTGTGTCTTTAACATATCCGATTGCACTGTGCCATACAAATATCCCCATCAACATGTAACTTATTAAAAAGCATTTTCTAAAATATTTGAAGATGTTTGAAAGCAGAATATAAAATGGACTCAACTCTTTCTATTTCATCTTGACTTTCCAATTTGTAATTATGAACAAAAAATCCTTCTTACTTATTATTAGCTACTAAATTAATCATAACTAGAAAATGGTAGAGTTCAACACCACCTATACAGGCTGAAATGATTGCTGATACAGAATATCAGATACAAATGGTTTTGGATCTTAGGTAAAAATTTACAACAGATCTATTAAGGGTCAGAATGGGTCAATTTAAATCCTGAGCAGTAATCTAATTAAGTTATATCTTGGATCTCTCCAATCTCACAGGGAACCAAGTTATTAAAAAACCCTTCCATTACAAAAGTAATTGTTTTAATAAGTATGAATGGACGAGCGAATGTTGTCTCCTGTCTATAAAGTGTTTATTAGAATATTAAGTTAAATTTAAATAAATAATAAATAAATTACAAAGTCTGTTAACACGCAATAATGCACTTTAAATGTTCGTGCAACTTGTATTTACTGTCTGTATGTGTTTATTTTCTAAAATATTGAATAAAGAATTAAATATAGAAAAAGAAAAAAAACTGAAATATACAAATATACCAGGGTTAACAGGTCCCTAGGCATTCAAATACCCCATATAAATAAACCTTTTTAAACCTGAATTTGCAGATCTTTGAAGGCTGAACATTTACATAATTGTAGCTAGAATATTCCAACATACAAGGGATTCACTCACTCAATACAGAACTGTAGCTGTTTGGAAAACCAACTTCACTCTTTTAGCCTATTTTTTGCAATTCAGTTTTTTTGGCTGAACTCTGAATTGTAACACATGAATATTCAAATTGCAATAAAAGGTGTGGCCCTTGATTTTATTCCTGTGGTGGCCCGTAACGTAGGCTATGCTTTAATGAAGGGTGTGGCCCCTGGCTGTTGATTTCATTCAGTTTGTGGCCCCTGGCTATTGGTTACATTCAGTTTGTGGCCCCTGGCTATTGGTTTAATACAGTATGTGGCCCCTAGCTATTGGTTACATTCAGTTTGTGGCCCCTGGCTATTGGTTTCATTCAGTTTGTGGCCTCTGGCTATTGGTTTAATACAGTATGTGGCCCCTGGCTATTGGTTTCATTCAGTTTGTGGCCCCTGGCTATTGGTTATATTCAGTGTGTGGGCCCTCGCTATTGGTTTCATTCAGTTTGTGGCCACTGGCTATTGGTTACATTCAGCTTGTGGCCCCTGGCTATTGGTTACATTCAGCTTGTGGGCCCTGGCTATTGGTTTCATTCAGTTTGTGGCCCCTGGCTATTGGTTTCATTCAGTTTGTGGCCCCTGGTTATTGGTTTCATTCCATTTGTGGCCCCTGGTTATTGGTTTCACTCAGTTTGTGGCCCCTGATTATTGGTTTATTTCAGTATGTGGCCCCTGGCTGTCGGTTTATTTCAGTATGTGGCCCCTGGTTATTGGTTTATTTCAGTTTGTGGCCCCTGGTTATTGGTTTATTTCAGTATGTGGCCCCTGGTTGTCGGTTTATTTCAGTATGTGGCCCCTGGTTATTGGTTTATTTCAGTTTGTGGCCCCTGGTTATTGGTTTATTTCAGTATGTGGCCCCTGGCTGTCGGTTTATTTCAGTATGTGGCCCCTGGTTATTGGTTTATTTCAGTTTGTGGCCCCTGGTTATTGGTTTATTTCAGTATGTGGCCCCTGGCTGTCGGTTTATTTCAGTATGTGGCCCCTGGTTATTGGTTTATTTCAGTTTGTGGCCCCTGGTTATTGGTTTATTTCAGTATGTGGCCCCTGGCTGTCGGTTTATTTCAGTTTGTGGCCCCTGGTTACTGGTTTATTTCAGTATGTGGCCCCTGGCTGTCGGTTTATTTCAGTATGTGGCCCCTGGCTGTCGGTTTATTTCAGTTTGTGGCCCCTGGTTACTGGTTTATTTCAGTATGTGGCCCCTGGTTATTGGTTTATTTCAGTATGTGGCCCCTGGTTATTGGTTTATTTCAGTATGTGGGTGTTGATACTGGATTGATTCACTAGGCGGCCCCTGGGGTCCATACAATGTCAGACCCAGGAGTCCGTGTGATTGTGGCCCCTGGGAGCAGAATGACCCCAGAGCGCTCTTCAGCGGTTGCTATGACACCGAAAAGGGTTGGGCGGGGTCTCTGGCTCAGCGGTTGCCATGGCGACGACGTCGCGGACGCAGCCAGGCGCCGTGCACGCTGAGGGGGCGTGGTTAGCAGGGAGAGCGCGAGACGGCAGTACGTTATTCAGCTCCGGAGCTCGAGGTAAGCGCGGGCAATGCGGCCCCGGTCCGGCGGGGGGAGGGGCACACGGTCAGGGGTGGGGGGTGCAGTTAGGGTGACCGCGCGGTATATCGGGGGGCTGGGGGAGGGGTGTGTTTATAGCGGGGGGGAGCGCTGCACCGCCGCCATTTTTAGGAGCTCGGTGAGGGGGGCCGGTCAGACGGAGCTCCCGGGCTGAGCCGCTCCTGGTTTCGGGGGGTCCAGGGTTACCGTGCTCGGTCTCCTCAGGCCCCCCAACCCCTCCCCCATCCATCGTTTGTTTGCGGATTCTCCCTGAGCCCCGCCCACTCCCGGCCCCGTTCGAAAGATGCCGCCGCCGCCCATTGGCTGAGCGGGAAGCCAGGCCCCGCCCACCCCGCGCCGCTTCTTTGTTTTGTGGTTTTTTTTCGCCTTATTCTGCGCCGCGCTGATTGGCTGTCAGGGCAACGGGTGCGCGCTGATTGGCTGATATTGTCCCCGATCGGCTTCCATTCTACTGCACTCGGCATCCTTACCCATGGTCCCTCACGGTGTGCCGAGCGTACAGTGCCCGGGGGGGGGGACACACTCACTGTGTGCCGGCCGTACAGAAGCCAAAGCATAAACCGCCATTCTAGATGGGGGGGTTTGTCCAACTGATGTCTATGGCTGTCTAGAATGGCGTGTTATACTTTGGCTTGTGGGTCGTGTTGCCCGGTTTACCCCCCGGTAGTGAAAGTGTTAATTCCAGCACTCCTGTTGAGTAGACAGTGATAGTAACAATAACAGCAAATAGTGTGGGAGCAGCATTGTTGTCTAGCCTTTAAAAAGTGGGTGAATGGAGTATTTTACCCTCCCTTGTAGAGGAGCTCCATCACACTATTCTATAAGTTGTATTGACATATTTTGGGTCTCTCATATGTCTGGTGTCCTATGCAGAGAGAAGGGGAAGGGTGATATATGTATCAGAAGCTTTCTTACTTGATGCAACCATTTTACATTTCTAATCCGTTCCCCCACCCCGTGTTTACCTGTGGAGTCTTAACTGATAAATAAGACTTCACAGGTAAATCCCGGATGGATTAATTCGGGCATAGATAAAAAGGCATGTGATTCATTCAGAACTGAAATGCATTTTTACACAAGTTTAATAGTGAGATGCTTTTTATTATAATCTAAGTGACATGACAAGGTACTGCTAACTCAGCGTAGTCCCTTCTTTGTTTTGTTCATATCTTTTCATTTAGTTAAAATGTAATTGTAATTCCAGTACTTTATAGGCTTTTCATAAAGATTCTATGTCCATGAACAGTAATCAGAGAGGGACAGTATCCTTTTGAGATTACTTTTTTTATAGTGAACTCTTGGTCCAAATTACCTTTGTCAAGGTCATTTATATTGAAACATTCCCACCTTTACAGCTGTCTGGGAAACCTAAAGATGAACTGTTGCATACGAATTTTTTTTTAATTATTATTTATTTATTTATTATTGGTTTTAAGAGACTAAACAAACTTTGTTTTGTTGTTCTTGACATATAATACAAATGCAAAGTCTAATTTTTCCCTGCATATAGTCTGTGTATATCATGAATAATGATCAACATTATTCCTGGCATGCATGCACACATATCATAGAACCACTAAGGCACAAGTAACCCAAAAGTAAAGCAGGGTTGACCTAATAAAGGATCAGTCCACAAAATAAGCTGTTCATGCACAAACCTGTCTTGGGTTCCCTTAAAAAATTAGTTTGGTCTGTGCATTGTGTTGCCAAATATGTAGATATGAAGACCTGAATATGAAGCTACTAGTTTTCTAAACGTGTGTGCAAAAGATTTTGTCAGATTTCTATATTTGCGCAATGCATTAAGTTTTATTTTCTGGGCAAGTGAAAGGCAGGTCAGGTGTGTAGTGACTTAAATGGGACACCAATAAAGTGGTTTTGGTGTAGAGGTCATGCCCCTACAGACTCACTGCTAAATTCTCTGCTATTTAGAAGGTAAATCACTTTGTTTATATAGCTCTAGGCACATATCTCCTTGCTGAGACTCGGGAAGCCTCCTTAAACACATACTGGGTAGGAGTAAATGTTTCTTCGTTTTAATTTCTTCTCTCGCTGTATTGTCTTCTAGAGTCTAATGCAGCCACCCTGTGTTTTAATGTTCAAAAAAATCAGAAGAGAGAGGAGAATATAAAGTAAACACAATGTGCTGTAAATTTGATACTTTTTTGTATCTTTTATAATTGACTGGTGAGACTGCAGCGTCATTATTTATATACGCAAAAACAGCTTCATTAAGCTAAAGTTTTTTGGTACTTAGATTATCCTTTTACATGTACACGTCAATTCCCAGTATTTTAAATATTCTGTTTACTTATCCCCTATAATAAACTAATAATGTATTTTAGAAATGCGAAAAATCGAATTTAAAGTAAAAAAATAAAAAAATCCTTTATAACTGGGCACTTCCATCACTCCCCATTAATCTTTGTAATACGTACTCTCCTTTGCAACTGGCAGACAGCATAGAGGAAGTATATGTACTATACATCAGGGCTCAACAAATTCCAGGCACCATGGCGACTAGGAATTCTTTCCTGGCGTTTGGGATTTGTGAGCCGGTCAGTTGAGGCAGCGAGAAGCATGCAAGCGCTGACAGAGAGCCGAGGGGGGCAGCCGGCTGTGCGGAATGGAGGCTGGGAGGGAGCTGTAATCTCCCTGTTCTGCTCTCTCGCGTGCCCTGCAGTGATGCCGTTAGCTTGAATTTGATGACGCTCCGCTCTGGCATCACCAAACTCAGCAACCCCTCTGGACACCAGGGTAGTCCTATACACTCTAACTCCAAAGGTAGGGAAGCTGGGTGGATTTAAATTGAAATAATTGAATATATGTGTGTGTTTTGAGTGCTGTCTGTTTAGGTGACTGCTCCCACCCCTCTCATTTTACTCACCCTTTTTCCCATGGCTGATATCAATCTTAATGATCTCAGCCAAGCCAATGCTGTCCCATAGGATATGCTCGTGTGCTAATCAGTATCTCTATGGGGGATATTCAGTGCCTCCATGCAGTGCGTGGAGACGCTAGACATGATGGCTACACACTGTGCAGCACTGGACTAAAAATCGTCTCTTGTGACCGTTTGGCTGTTACTAGAGGGGTTACTTGGCAGCAATGTGAACACTGCCTTTTCTCTGAAACTGCAGTGTTAGCATTATAAGTATGCAAGGACAGGCTATAGGCTCTCCCCTCTGAAGAGCTTTGAGTGGCGAAACGCGCGTCAGGGGCTTGTACCCGGCGTTATCCTTCCTTTTTGAACTGCACCACCAGTGTCTTCATACTTTGCTACCCTGCTACTTAGACAGGATATATCTATACCCATCGGTAACTCTGAATCCTGGGGGTTCCGGTTAGGAGCATTTACGGCATCGATATTTATCTTTTGAGCGCATTCTCTAATTTGGGGGTGGGCTTACTACTGAAAGTATTAGGAGCTATTAGGCTTTTTGGGTTAAGGGGTGCCCTCGAAGGCACAAGCGGCTAGGGCTCATATATATCTCACATATCTACTGAGTGCTTAGTTTTTGTTTGTTTTTTCTCCCTTGCCACATATTTTTTCATTAGCTACCTCTCTCCCTAATTTGTGTCAGCTATTTAGCTTTACAATTGGACAGGTTCTCACTTATAGGATCCTGGAAGTTTTATTGTATTGGCAATCATACCATATAACTTACTATCTATCCAGTCAGTATTCCACCTTTATACTTTATTATATCCTGTGAGGGTATTATAGACTCACAGTGGATACTGTCTTGACAATATATCCACACAACTGATTATTAAGCAGTGAATGGTTACTTATGACACTACTTAAGTAGCGTGTGTTTACTTATTTTGTAACATTTTTTCACCTTTGTGTTACACTCTGCTATTAATAGCTGCCAGTCCCCAAGAGGGACTCTTTTCCTGACCGCTCCTGGAGTTGCCGCTGTTCGGCTATATACAGACATAGCTATCTTGGAGGGCAATTGTATCCACCATTATTTGTGTTTTTAGTTAGTTATTATTAAAAGCTACGTTTTACATTTGGGATTGTGTTATTTAGACACTAACGGTTCCCGCCATTATTTCCCTTTTCTCTAAGGGAAACCCACTCTACTAGGACTATTGGTACTAGTCTGTCCTATTTTTCTCCTTTTTTCTTCCTTTTTGTGCATTTTTGGTGAAGCTATTCACTAGGGGTTATTCCCCACATAGGAGATATTTATTTAAATCACCCCCTTTTTATGGCTATAGACACCAGAACCGCTACATTAAGCTGTAGTAGTTCTGGTGACCATAGTGTCAATGAAAATGAAGCTTTGTTAGTTAAAAATAACTGGCTCCTAACTTTTTTAGCTGTCTTCTAGATTCCAAGCAAATTTGTCAAGCCCTGCTACATTTTTCTACCTTTGAATGTTTTTGGCACAGGTTTTTTTTAACTTTTATATTTTTAAATCTGTTTATTTATTTTGACTGTTGCTTGTACACGGTCTGTTTTAAATGTACCCTATTCAGCGATACAGCTCATTTGAAGGTTCCCATGGGCGCTAGCGGTCCTATTTCTCATTCTACTTTAGCAATTTTCATTTTGTGCAACTTTTTGCAGCATGAATTGTCTCACACTCGCAACCAATAAATGATGTTAATAGTTGCACTAAATGGATATGGGTCAATTGAAATTGGGCTTTCTCTTTTATAACTTGCAGCTTTCAAACTCCTGTTGCGTCATCTTCCACTAAATGTATCCTATGTACCTTCTCTGTCTTAAAGGACCACTATAGGCACCCAGACCACTTCAGCTCAATGAAGTGGTCTGGGTGCCAGGTCCATCTAGGGTTAACCCTGCAGCTGTAAACATAGCAGTTTCAGAGAAACTGCAATGTTTACATTAGGGTTAATCCAGCCTCTAGTGGCTGTCTCATTGACAGCCGCTTCTCACTGTGAAAATCAGTGAGAAGACGCTGACGTCCATAGGAAAGCATTGAGAAATTTAGCATTCAGCGCTGACGTCGGAAGAGGGAGGGGATTTCCCCAGTGCCGAGGGAGCCCGGCGCTGGAGAAAAGTAAGTGATTAACCCCTTCCTCTCCCTTCAGCCTGGCGGGAGTGGGACCCTGATGGTTGGTGAAACTAAAAACCCTATAGTGCCAGGAAAACAAGTTTGTTTTCCTGGCACTATAGTAGTCCTTTAACTGGGTTGTTCCTGAAACAGGCTTTGACCTCTAGTCATCGCTAGTCACTTGGGACATATTTTAGCTATTCTTTTAATCCCGAAACAGGTTGAAGAGTTTTCACCATGCCGATCCGTCGCGCAGTCAATTCATCCACCCAAGAAAGTGCGCCTAAAAACCGTGCCACTGACAGTGAAAAGAAAGCAGGTAATATACAGTGTCACTCATTCTCTCATTAGGATGTTTTGTGGTGTCTCCTATTAAAGTGATACAGGGAGTTGTTTTCTGTGTAGTATCTCTATTGTTAATTTCCTTTTTTTTTTTTTTTTTTTTTAATTCTTTATTTTTGCACACGATAGGCAATGCAAGAATAATACAACTTGGAGGCTTGCGCAGAAACCAAAATATAAAAGAGCATACTTATAAACATAAAAATTGACATCGGCCCATATGACAAGCCACTTTATAAATTCCATACAACTTGCCCCCTATCGAGGATTTTTTTTTTTTTTTTTTTTTAATATATAGCTACACTATTTAAATTCCTTATTTTTGCACACGATAGGCATAGCAAGAGCAATACAACTGTGAGGCTTGCTCAGAAGCAAAAATGCTAGAAATCAGACTTGAAAGCACGAAATACGACATTAGCCCAAAAGACAAGCCTCTTTATGAATTCTATTCCACTCGCCTCCCATCGATGATGTATCTTTTAGTCAGGCCACGCATTCTAAGAAGGAGCCCTAACTCTATCCATGTCAGGGTGTACTTTAGGCATCCTCAATTCTCTGTCAGTATACTCATGCCTGAGTGAGGAAAGTAAATAATGACAACATAGACTGAGACAATGTTAGAAATAAAGAGGTAAAAAAGAAAAGATACCTTTGTAAACCAAGGGTTTAGTAACAAGATGGAGAAACGTGAAAAAGAGAAATAGGGAAAGAAAAGATAAGGCGAGGAAGAGAATTTGTCCCCTTTTAAAGAACATTTTTTTTTGTATCATATGGAACATCAGGCATTCTCCTGTGTTTTTTCACAGAGGCTGATGCCAGCTCTGAGGAATCTGCTTCCACTGGGGAAGAGCAGGAGACTGAAACGCCCCCGGCTACTTCCAGCGAGGCCGAGCAGCCCAAGGAGTCTGAGGCTGATGAAGAGAAAAAAGCTGAAGGGGAAGTAGCAGAAGAGACCAAGAAAGAGTATGTGCTTTGCATTGTATCAAACACTGACATTGTAGATGTGTGTGGCTTGTTGGATGCTTTATGCTATAGCTGCTCTGTAGGTATCGTAAATCAGCTCTAGTGTGTGGATATTGCCTTCATTTGATTTGTCTGTTTTTATCATACTGACCGTTAGTGATCCAGGTTTAGGTTAGTGTTGATTTATAATCTATAGACACAACCAACACTGACAGATTCTCTTTGGTAATAAGTGGCTAATGATAGACCATGGCATTAACGGTTTGTTGCTCCTAATTGTTGTAGTGGATTCTAGGACCAAAAATAAGAGGTGGTGAAAATGTATCTAATCTTTCAGTTAACATAGTTAATCCTTCTAACACTATTACTAGGGATAGGAGTAAGGTTATAATTAGGGTATGGTTTAGGATTAGCATTTGTGGTGAATGCACCCAACTGCTCTTTGAATAAAACTACAACCACCTGTAGTGGTTACAGCGCTTTTAGAAACTGTTAATGTTTGTAAGCTATGTAGTCATAGAAACAAGGTTGACAGGCAGACCTGATCCCTCTCATTCTTTAGAATGCCACGTGTGCTTAAGTTTTCTAATAGCTCTCTCCTTTCTGTTTCAGTGGCGAAAAGGAACCGTCAAAAGAAAAAGAAAAGAAAGTGAAAAAGACCATCCCATCATGGGCCACTCTCTCTGCTAGCCAGCTGGCTAGAGCTCAGAAGCAGACTCATATGGCATCCTCGTCTCGTCCAAAAATGGATGCCATCCTTACAGAGGCCATTAAGGTTAGCAATGGATAGGCCCTCCGTAATTCCATCTTGTGTGTTTGTTTTTTTTGGATTTTTTTTTGGTATTCTTTAAATACTCTATAATGGTGAAGGTATTGGTAGATTAAAAGTGGAGACAAAATATTCAGTTTGTTTAATTTCACTTACAATGAGAGGAGCTCTGTGATACACTAGGATGCACAAAATATTCTCAGCATCTAGAGAAAAAAGTTATCAATATTTTTTTTAAATGGGGTGGTCCATGGGTGCCAAGAACTAATTGTAAGACCTTTCTTTTTGCTATTAAAGGAACACTATAGTGACCCAGACCACTTAATCTCAGCGATGTAGTGTGATTGCAGTGGACTTGTCTTTTTAACCCTGCAGTGTAAAACATTATTACAAACTGCAGTGTTCACTTTGCTGGGTTTAATTCACCTCTAATGGCTGTCATCCTGATAGCCAGTAGAGACGCTTCCTCGTCCAGACCATGTAAACTGGAGGAGCACAATGTTTTGCAGCGCATGCATACACCTCCCATTCATTGCTTCTCTATAAAAAGTGTTGGGCTGGTGGAGATTGCAAAGACACCAGTAAGAATGCTGATGTCTTTGAAGACGGAGCACAAGCCCTGGAAAAAGGCTGAGTAGTCTTTATTTTACTTATTTTTTTTTTTATTTTTTTTTAAGAGTGAATAGAAGGGAAGCTATAGCCCCAAAATGTTTCAGGATTATAGGTTATTTTTAAACCAAGGAGACAGTGCCAGGCCACTGACAGCATTAATGCTAAAGTGTCCTGTAGTGGTTATGCTTCCTTTAAGTTGTTGCACTGACAATATATCCAAATGGCCATTTTTATCCAGTACTGTAAGGAGGCTGCGATGGACATGTCTATTTTTCTCCCCTATTGGTTCTCAATGAGATTAACTGCTGTTGCATTGCACATGAAGCCACTGAGTGGGTGAGAAGGGACAACCAAAAGCGTTTAATGCGGATATAGAACTATAGCCCCTGTTTGAATGGTTCCCCACAAACACATACTAGTGACTAGCATAGCTGGTGACTCACGTTGGATGATGTTACCCTTCAGTGTCCTAATTCACTATAGTGTGAACCAGCAGGAGCTCACACTGGAAATGCAGCCTTTACTCGTTGATCATAGTAAGCAAACGGAAGATGAACTAAAAAACAAATATGTACTATGGGAGAGCAAGTAATTGTTTTTATTTTATTTTTTTGTTCTGGCTAGTTGGTTAGGTCTTGAAATTTTACTGAATCTGTGCCGTAACTACCTTGTTCTTCCCCTGACAGGCCTGTTTCCAGAAATCTGGGGCGTCTGTGGTTGCAATCCGAAAATACATTATTGGAAAATATCCTTCCCTAGAGTTGGAAAGGAGAGGGTACTTGCTCAAGCAAGCTTTAAAACGAGAGCTGCAGAGAGGAATTATCCGCCAGGTGAGTTTATCATTTTTAGTCCAGGAGAAGCAACATCTCCTTAACGGATTCGTTTTCTATGTTTAATTTGTCGGCATGTCTATTAGTCGGTAATTTACACAAGACACATAACGTCCAACTACAACACTTTGATCGGGATTGTGTTTGGGATGTTCTAGTTAGTCTGGAAAAAATTTATTTTTTATTAAGTGTTCTTGCCTAGCAAGACCACTTATTGTTATCTCACATATATATTCTTATTCTTATTGTAGCCAAATTTGCCACCCTAACTCCTCCCACAGTTTTTACACTACATAGACCAAAATTTACCAAAACGTGCAGATTGTTCCCGATCGGATTGCTATTACTTTGTGGAACGTTTCGCCGAATGGTTCACGGAGTATCGTTGTTCTTGTGGCGAAATTTGTCCCATAGGAATAAATGGCAAAGCTAGAGTGGGAGCTGGCAAAAGCTGAAAAATCAGGACATGATTTCTAAACTGCCACCACTCCCTCATTTTCAGGCCCACCTACACAAATCTTATATCAAAACGTTCAGCTATCCCTGCTGCCACTAAACATGTCAACGGCTAAACCATAGTCCTGATAGATTTCACAATATAATCATTTGTTTGCAACTAACGCCGTCCATTGACTTTCATTGAAACTTCACTCTGCAAAGCTCAAATTTGAAGTGCAATTTCTAAACTGCGACTGTGCCTTCATTTTTAATACTTCAGAGACATACTATGCATCAAAATGTAGGTCTGGGTCTTGTGATTCTCACAATATAAAGCTCTTCGCTGTAGGAGTTATAGTTTTTAAAATACGACCGTTTGAAGATGGCAACCGCCAAAATACTCTGACCTGTGTCAGGCTGCAGCAGCAAGTGATGTCATAGACAGGGCCTTTTGAACACCTGCTAATGTTTTTATAAATGTATGGTTTAATGTAACTGTGCAACAACGTTGCAATTAAATGTGCTATATAAATGATAAGTTACTCCACCCACTCCAGTTGTAGACTACTGGTGGAGGCAAGAACACTTCACACAATTTCCCCAGAAATTTTAGCTTTTCTAGTTGTTGTTGTTGTTGTTGTTATTATTATTATCTAGCAAGAAACCATTCAACATGTGCAAAAAAAAAAATAAGATGTGAACAGAAGCTAGCCAACCACCGGCCTTGGGATAGATATCTCTTGGTAAATCATGGTTAGCCTTTTGTTTTACACTGCACATTCATTGCGGCATTGCTTCTGAAGAGTTTCGATGCAAGTTTTCCTTTTACTTTCCTTACGGCACAGGGAAGGTGAGCATAGATAGTGAAGTGTCGCCATTGTTCACTTGCTGGCATCATGCATTTCTTGGTTCTGCCTGTTAACTTGTTTGTGGGCTTGTAATTCTTAATCCCTTGACTACAGGTGGGTATTTCACACAGCGTATTGCTTCAGAGCTGAGGAAGAGAGGGAAACTCTCAAAAGCTTGTCTTTTATATATTGTTAGTCCAATAAAAAGTTATCCTTGCATACTGCAATACTCTGCTATTATGGCATCTTGTCTGGACTAATATGGGTAATCCAATCTGCACATAAATATTTATATATATTTTTATGTTGTACTGCAAATTTTACAAGATTCATGACTTAATTATTGTTTCCATTAGGTGAAGGGAAAAGGAGCATCGGGCAGCTTTGTGGTTGTGTCAAATTCTGGCAAATCGGCACCAAAATCCAAAGACAAAAAGGTAAACCAATATGAGTTTCTGTACTTCTGTGAATATGCAAGGCTGGGCTTTGTATTCTGTACAGCCCTAGTGCACATTTTGTGTTTCCACGGGGTTGATCACTAAACTAAATATTAGAGTTTAAGTAAAAGAAGCCACTTCCAACCATGACAGAACATAAAATCAAAGCTTTTGGTTTATGCTTTAAGTAGCTGATTGCTCACACTATGTAATTGCAAAAGATGGTTTATAGATGCACGCATATATCTCACTTTGTGCAGCAAGTTAAAAACTAAATATTCGGGTATTTCTTTATTTTTGTGTTCTACAATGCATACTCTGTTTTATCTGTCTTTATAGGTCTGTCCCTTATCTTTCTGCTTCTAAAATAAATATTTTCAGACACCTGCAATGAAAGCTTTATTATAGAGATCAGATTTGCTCATTGCTCACGGTGCTGGACACTGAATGCATTCATATTTTTTGTAGAAGAACAGCTCATCAAGTGCAGGTGATCAACCCGTGAAGCTGGAAGACATCTTGCCTCTGGCCTTCACCAGACTTTGTGAACCTAAGGAGGCATCCTACAGCCTCATCAAGAAATATGTATCCCAGTATTACCCCAAGCTCAAGGTGGATATCAGGTATGGGCCACAAATCATGACATGTTGCTGGGCCTGCTGTTTGTAAACTAATTGTCCAAGACTGCACTGTGAATAAACCTGGTAGAAATAATCAGGGAGTATTTCAGTATTTAATCTTTGTCCTTTCTATGCCTGTTTTTATATTGTATCTTCTACTGTATGTAAAACAAGAGTAAAACAAAACAGTCTATATTGTCTACATATATGTATTTATATATTCTATATGCCAAACAAAAAGGCTATGTTTCACCAGGGATCCAGAATATCAGTTACTTGCATTCATTGGCACAGTCTGTTTGAGCTGTGATTCTCATTAAAGTTGGGACTAGCTGATGCATTTATTCTGTTTGTTTTGCGCAGATAGTGAGTACCAGATCACTTGGTTGCCTTTAAAGGGGACCAACACCTGTTTTGGAATTGTACAGGTGAATAAGATTTAGTTGGAACCCACCTGTAACTTATGTTAATTGTTTTCTTTCTTTTCGAGTGAATGAAATGAATGTTAAATAACTTGTTAACATCACAATCCCATTCAGTACTTCCATGGCTGGAGCACAAAACAATTGCAAAAACGTGGGAATTGTTTTTCTCCTTTTCCTCTCTGATCTGTGTTTTTTGTTTTTTGTTTTTTTGTTTTAAATCCTAAATGACAGATGCCATCTTGACTCCATGATTATTATTATTATTTATTATTATTATTATTATTTATATAGCGCCAACAAATTCCGTAGCGCTGTACAATGGGTGGACTAACAGACACATAATTGAGATCAGACCACTGACGTACAGGAACAGAGGGGGTTGAGGGCCCTGCTCGATGAGCTTACATGCTAGAGGGAGTGGGGTATAGTGACACATTATATTGATTGACAGGGAGCCAAGATGGAGGCACATCAGTGTGGATTTCTGCATATTATTATTTAGAACCTACCCGTATTTAAGTGATAAGTAACATAATATTAAAAAGACAGATTTCCTTTTACGCAAGAAATGATTGCTATTAGACATTCTGCCATTCAGCACGTCTGTATATTCTCTTAGAGTAGCACACATTTATTTTCCATAAGTCCAAGTGTGATATTTCTTAAACCAAATAATTCATATATCTTTGATTTATCCAGAAGTTTCTTTTGTTTTTTCTTTGCCCAGACCCCAGATGCTGAAGAATGCCCTGCAGAGAGCAGTTGAAAAGGGTCAGCTGGAGCAGATCACAGGAAAGGGAGCTTCTGGTACATTCCAGGTGAGTAATAAAAAGAGAAATAGCAGCTTCGTAATAGGTGGCAGACTATTAATATTTATTAGAAGCAAGGGATATATAATTAGCATATAAGCACATTTCACTCATTTGTTCATCCTTTACAAAAAAATATTTGGGAAATTGGCAACTTTAGACAGTATGCAATGCCCTTTATCTTGCAATATTTCACACAGGGTCTGAAATGTTAGTATAAAAGCAAAAATTCAGTTTTTCTCACTTACAGGAGATGTAACAAAATTATATAAATCCAATGCTCAATACATTGCTTATAGGTATTTTTAAGAACCCTGAAGCATTCCTAGCTGTTCGGTTTACTAACAATTGCAACAGAATGTAAAAAAAGTCTGCATTTGCGCCTAATGCATGTTAAATCATATATTTCTAAAATAAGATACTTTAAACTGCTCTAGCAATCTGTATCAGTCACTGGACTGCTAATGTATAGCTGACAGTGAAATGGTACAGTCCATTCACTCCTCCATGACTCTATGAATATCATCCAGTGACACATCCTTTACTGTTTTGAAAGCAGGGGGTGTGCTTACTTTTTCAGCAAATTTAATTATTGTATCCGTGACTAGTGGCTTCTGGCAGAGCCAGTCTGGTAATCATAGCTAGAGTATGAATGAGGTTGAGTGAGGCTTTATGGTCTCGATTTCACACAGCAAAATACATGAAAATAAAAATGTTTGCCTGTGCTACTCTCCTGCCGAATTTCCTAATTAAGTAATAAAGATACATTCTTGACATTTTAAAGCTGGTTTAAGTTGGAAACTTTCTTTATTGTTTTGTAAAAGATTGCAAAAGCCTTGACACTAGATCATGTTATTGGTTTATAGATAGCTTGAGATTCAGATCATAGTAAATGGCGGTTTGTTATTTTCGTGGACAACCTGTTTCAGTACCATCTTCATTAAAAGCATTCACTAAAGTGATATTAAAAAAAAAAAAATCAAGAAGCATACCATTTATTTATTTTATTTATTTACCTTATGTGAGATTAAAGAACCTTGGATCTTTTTTTTTTTTTTTTTCTTTGCAGTGTTCCCTCTAAGTAGGAATTTTCTAATTTATATTATATGAAAAATGTCCTTAACTTTCTGATCATAACCCCTTAGGGACCAAACTTCTGGAATAAAAGGGAATCATGACATGTCACATGTCATGTGTCCTTAAGGGGTTAAAAGTGTTGATTATCTGAGTAGCTGACATTTATATGCTATAATTGGTGTATGTACAGTAGCCAAAAGAATGAAAATCATTATGGATTACATGTAAAAGTGAGTGTCAATCAATATGAACTATTTTATGTTAATAGTTCCTATATTATATGTTTAATACATTCATTCCTCCCCCCCTCATTACACAGGTGAAGCGGGCAGGAGATAAACCTCTTCTGAGTGGAGGTGCATTTGAGGATGCCATCCTCTCTGCAATCACAGCCATGAATGAACCCAAAACTTGCTCGACGACAGCCATCAAGAAATACGTGCTGGAAAATCATCCTGGTGTAAACGCCAGCTTCCAGGGTGAGTGACTTGTATCGGGCAGGTTTGTAATGTGTTAAAGTCCGAAATAATATATTATATTGCTATGGTTGAAGAATGTTAAACCCACTGAGATAGCATAGTGGATAGAAGGTTACTCCAAGTACCAGGACCACTTCAGTGATTTAAAGTGGCCGTCGTGCTTTTAGTCTGCACAGCGTTTCAGTATGAAATAGCCAGATGCTACGCCTTCGGCAAAGGAAACCCAAGTAAGAGGTCAAACTCTTGCAAATTGGTTTGCCCTGTTACTGGGGAACTGTGCCCGAGGGTACTCCTAACATCATAACTACTATTGATGTCTTTAGTAGTTATGTGGCTATGAGTACCCCTTTAATGTTCTAGTTGTTCTCTAGTACCTGTTTAGGCTACAGATCCAGTTTCCTTGAGTCACATCAGCAATATTTAACTCTTTGTTCAGCCGTTCTGCATACAGATTACTTGTTTTCAGCTTTTTATTTTTTATTTTTTTTTGCAACGTTTGGTAATATTTTTGTCGTCTTTAGTTCATCTGCTAAAAAGAACACTGCAGAAGTGTGAGAAGAATGGCTGGATGGAGCAGATCTCTGGCAAGGGTTTCAGTGGAACATACCAACTCTGTTTCCCCTATTACCCCAGGTAAGATGTTTACTGCCACTTGTTCTGCAGGTTGAACTCTGTTTTAAGGAGCAACAACTGACTATAGCATTTTCTGCAGCCCCTACGTGCTGTTCCCTGAGAAAGCAGAGGAGCAGGATGAAGATGAAGAATCTGGAGATGAATCTGAAGAGGAGGAGGAAGAAGAATCCGAAGAAGAGTCTGAAGAAGAAGAACCTCCTCCAAAAAGAAGGTAAGATGCACATTACCTGCATCATCTGTTATCTGACAGTTTACTAACTCCCCCAACCTTCAGCATTGATAATCAGATTTTTTTTAATACTCCAACTAGCAGCATTGATAATCAGACTTTGTATTGACCCCACTCCCCAGCCTGCAGTATTGGTAATTAGACCATTTATTGACACCCCTCCCTCAACCTGCAGCATAGATTATCAGACCTTTTACTGACTCCCCCAACCTGCCGCATTGCTAATCAGACCATTTATGGACTCCCCCAACCTGCAGCATTGCTAATCAGACAATTTACAGACTCCCCCCAACCAGCAGCATTGCTAATCAGACAATTTACTGACTCCCCCAACCTGCAGCATTGCTAATCAGACCATTTATTGACTCCCCCAACCAGCAGCATTGCTAATCAGACCATTTACGGACTCCCCCAACCTGCAGCATTGCTAATCGGACCATTTATTCACTTCCCCAAACTGCAGCATTGCTAATCAGACCATTTATTGACTCCCCCAACCAGCAGCATTGCTAATCAGACCATTTATTGACTCCCCCAACCTGCAGCATTGCTAATCAGACCATTTATTGACTCCCCCAACCAGCAGCATTGCTAATCAGACCATTTACGGACTCCCCCCAACCTGCAGCATTGCTAATCGGACCATTTATTCACTTCCCCAAACTGCAGCATTGCTAATCAGACCATTTACTGAATCCCCCAACCAGCAGCATTGCTAATCAGACCATTTACCGACTCCCCGATCTGCAGTAAAGGTCATGAGATTTTTTACTGACTTCCTAACCTGTGGCAGAGGTTGTCAACCTCTTTTTCAACTCCCTGGCCTGAGACTTCAGTAATCATGTTTTACCGATTTCCCCAACCTAGAGCATAGTAATCAAGTTTTTACCCAGCTCCCTGACTGGAAACGTGTTATCAGACCTATTTTAACCTCCACTACCTGACCTGACTGTACTTCGTCCTCCTACTCCACCTTTCTATAAAGAGGTAGTGATAGATATATTGTCACTTCTTTCATTTAACTACAAAGTGGAAGAAATAATCATAGTAAGAAGAGAACATGAGACCATTACAACCAGTGTGATGGACCTTTCAGTTAATGTAACCATGAGCAAATTATCTTGTATTTTAATTCAGAAAGAGGAGGTTGGTTTTCTTTCAGATCAAGCACCTTCAGTTATTTTGTATAACAATGTATTTTCAGCCCTTTCACATGAAGGGATAGCAAGAAAAACCATGATATCTAGAACATTATAATCATGCATTTTACAAACTCTCGGTAATGAGACCTTTAATTTTCTCGTAATTCTTTCCTTCTTACTGTAATAAGCTGCTGTATAGTGATATTGGTTTCTTGTCGCTTATTGTCTAAACAGCGTACTGCTTGGATTGCTTGGCATATAGTGTTGCCATTTGGGGGAGGGGGGGGGAATGGTTTACTGTCATTTATGTTCTCCAGTCAAAAAACAAACAAAAACGATTGGTCTGCTTTTATTTGTGCAACACGTTGCCCATACTGCTCAATGTCATTTATTAAATCATGAATGTTTTACTACAGGATGCAGAAGAAAGCAGCTCCTCGAAAATCCAGGTCCAGAGCCCCTCCACCCAAGCCCAAGAAGAGCGCACCTGCTCCTAAGGGCAAGGCAAAGAGTGCTCCAAAAAAGGCTCCCGCACCTCCACCTTCCAAAGCTAAAAAGGGCAAGTCAGCTCCCCCACCCCCTCCCCCTCCTGCCTCCAAGAAAACAGCCAGCCGGTCCTCCAAGAAACCAGTAACGGGAAAGAAGGAAGCAAAGCCTGCAGCAAAGGCCAAGGCGAGCCCCAGGAAATCCCTGCGAACAAGGAAGTGAAACCAGGAAGGTGTAAATAAAGCACCTTCAGGATGATGCGCAAAAGGAAGCGGTTCTAGTAAATTTACAGAGAAGAGAAACCTTTTCTAAGTTTAATGTGCATTTTCATTTTCTCCTTCTAAACTCCTGACACCTTTCTGTACACTTCCTGATGCAATATTAAGAACCTTTCTTTTCCTTTTCTTTTATAGTTTTAGATATAGCTGATGTGTACCTGCCAGTTTCCTCTCTAGCCTCAGACAGAAACCAGCAAGTGCTCTGCTCTCACTTTCTTTAATCATGTGTCCTTGCTCCTTTTCCATCACGTGATGTCAAGTGTTTAAACAACCTTTTATTTAAAAATGAAAAAGATTCAGATTTTTTTCTTTCTATTTTTAGCTAAAATGTGTTTTCTGTTTTTGTTTTGATTACTTGATCATCAGGGAACGTTAAAAGGAATCCGTTAGAAGCCTGCTCTTCCACCTTCCAAATAAAACGCTTTTTGTAGCAGCTTGGTTTACTGTCCCTGCTATATTTTTGTTCATCCTGTCCACTTTACAACTGGTTGTTTTCAAAAAGGTGCTTACACAGTTCCCCTTCCGTCAGGTTGTCACATGACGCTAATGTGAAAGTGCGATTTGCATTAAATCTTTCCTGGCTTTACTCAAGGAAAGCAGGGCTGCCAGCCTGTCTTCCTGTTTGAATTCTTACCTACTGAGATTATCATTATCCCAGTATTTGCAGCGTTGTGTGCTCAGCCATTGATTTGTATAGTTTGTTTAGGTTCTGGTTACCATTTTTGTCCCCTTTCATTTAATCTTTATTAATGCATTTAACATGGGTTATTGTTTTGTTTTTTGGGAGGGGGGGGGAGGGAAAAGATCACCTGCTGTTCTCTTCCCCACTACCAACCCCCAAACACACAATGCTAGTTTTATCCATAAGTACTCCAGGGCAGTGGTTACTCCTGAAGCATGTACAAAGAAAGAAAGTAGGAATTTGTCTCTTTTTTTAACCAATTGTGTCTTTATTTTAATGTTTGCCAATTTGTAAAGACTTGAGTGAGGATAGACATGTAAACCCATGGGTATTCTGCTGTTTGCTATAATAAAAGAACTAGATTCTGCTAGAACACGTGTGTTGTTTATTGCTGCATGGGAAAGTCATATATGAAATTGGGGGAACCTATCCTGGAGCCAATGAAATCATGCCAAGCCTGGATATTGCTATTGAGAGTTAAAACAAAAACCTGGGATGTAATACATTTCTGTATCATTCATTTTTTTTTTTTAAAGATGCTTTTTCAATGTAGGTGCCAATGGAGCATAACTACTCATACCATCATGCTGAATATGCTAATCGCAAAAATATTTTTCAAATTTGCACAAATATTTTCTAAGACCTAAAACCCTCCCACACACAGTTCTCCTGCTTTTAGTAACTGCAACTGCAGCACGCGTTGCTAAAGGAATATAGCAATGAGGTGACTGATGTCATTCTAATCAAACTGAGATTTACTGGCAATGTAGCCATCTTTTGCTGACATGGTGGAAGAATTTGGGAATTGGTGTAACACCCACACCCCCAGTCATGATGACAGTGAATGCATTTAGCAAATAAATTATTGATATATCATATTTCAGATAAATTATAAATGTCTTGCATAAAAGGAAACTCCTGTCCAAAATTGCACATAAGTAACAATCATAAAAAAATTATGAATTTACTAAATTTTTGCACAAAAATTTCTCAAGCCCTCTAAGAACAGTTTGGTGCAGCGAATAAATAACCAAACCAGCACTAACAAGGAAATGGGCATTGTCCAATCAAATACTTATGATAGAGGACAAACCTCCATTCCAATGCTATTCCTAGAGATAGGTGGTCTTTAGGGAGATTTAGGGATTTGAAGGAAATAAAAATAAATTTAGGATTGTGTTGAAGTTCTCTTGTTAAGTATTAATTTGTGTGCGTCCATTAAAATGGTGACTTGCTATTGTAAACTAAAATTCTTATCAGGCTAGGGGTAGCCGGGACAGGGGTTGATATAGGCTGGATAAACCCCTCCCACAATCCCTGACTATGAAATGTTTTGCCAAATTCATGAACTGTGGCTTTCAACCTGTCAATTTCCACGGTCTCCTTGAATGTCAGGATGACCGTTGCCTAGGACATAATCCATATGGTAAATCAGAGTTCTGCTATGGCTCTGCAGGCAGACAGGATTAGTGTAAGGAAAGCTTATTTTATTTTTCTGCTCTGCTGAATTTGTTAAAGCAGCAGGGACTATGGGTCCATAGGGACAGATTTGAGTTAAATACAAGATGAGAACATTCACATCCTGTAAGGAATGTTTGATGTCTTGCACGTTCAGGACTGTACCTAACAGGTGTGTGGATACATGTGTTCTCAAAGGTTAGGGTCAAGTATAGCACGAGTAACTCAGGTATGAAGGGTAAAAAAATAGCTCAGCTATGTTTCCGGTATCAAAGCTGGATGTAGTTTTCAGGTAGAAGTACAGATAACTAACATAGCTCTGAGGCATGAGATTATAGATAACTCCGGTATGAGATTACAGATAGCTCATGCAGCTCTCAGGTATGTGGAGAATAGACAGCTGAGGTAAATCTCAGATATGAAGAGAGAATAGACAGCTCACAGAGATCTCAGGTATGTGGAGAATAGACAGCTCACAGAGATCTTCGGTATAAGGAGAATAGACAGCTCCGGTAAATCTCTGATATGAAGAGAGAATAGATACCTCAGAGATATCTCGGGTATAAGGGATAATAGACAGCTCAGAGAGATCTCCGTTATAAGGGATAATAGACAGCTCAGAGAGATCTCCGTTATAAGGGATAATAGACAGCTCAGAGAGATATCAGGCATGAGGAGAATAGACGGCTCAGAGAGATCTCAGGTATGAGGATAATAGACCGCTCAGAGAGATCTCAGGTATGAGGAGAATAGACAGCTCCGAAAGCTCTCCGGTATGAGGAGTATAGACATCTCAGAGAGCTCTCAGGTATGAGGATAATAGCATAGAGAGATTTCAGGTATGAGGATAATAGACAGTTCAGAGAGATCTCAGGCATAAGGAGAATAGACAGCTAAGAGAGATCTCAGGCATAAGGAGAATAGACAGCTCAGAGAGATCTCAGGTATGAGTAGAATAGACAGCTCCGGTAGCTCTGTTATGTATACTGAGTATAGCTCTCAGATATAAGGGCAGGGTGTAGCTCAGATAGATCTCAGTTATGAGGATAATAGACAGCTCAGAGAGATCTCTGGTATGAGGAGAATAGACAGCTCAGGTAGATTTCACGTATGAGGAGATTAGACAGCTCAGAGAGCGCTCAGGTATGAGGATAATAGACAGCTCAGGTATGAGGAGAATAGACACCTTAGAGAGCTCTCAGGTATGAGGATAATAAACAGCTCAGAGAGATCTCAGGTTTTAGGATAATAGACAGCTCAGAGACCTCTCAGGTATGAGGAGAATAGACAGCTCAGAGAGCTCTCAGGTATGAGGAGTATAGACAGCTCCGGTAGCTCTGTTATGTATACTGAGTATAGCTCTCAGATATAAGGGCAGGGTGTAGCTCAGGTAACACTCAGGTTATCTCTTCAGTTGTGTGGGCTGCTGTCAGGTATGCAAACGCACGCTCTGTCTTGGGAGGGGCTGGTATGGAATAATCTGAGACAGGACTAGATAGTAAATCCGGTGGAGGAGCTTAGTCCACATAGAGGAAGTAGCCAGGTAGAGACATTGGAGACCCAGTGTGAGCAGGTAAATCTCTAATACTCTGTATGTTCTGTTAGAGTGTGATGTGATATGCCATACGTGTGTGTGTGCACAGTGTAAGTGTTTTATAATGTAGGTCTGTGTGTTAAATGAAACCAGATAGCGTTTGTACTGTATAGAATGTATATCGTCCACTATAGCACAGCATGTGTACAGTGTTGGACACACGTACATTTTATATAGAAAGAGAATGTGTGTGTGTCTGTGTTCTCATATGTTACAAATATATTTATTAAACACATTTTTGCCAAATAAGCTATGTTTGTGTAAATTGCAATACTAAATACTAAATTTGTAAAATTTCTCCAACTCTGCTTGGCAATTTTTGTCCTAATTTTACAATTTGTATTTAGTGAATAAACACCTTGGTTATTTTCCGTACACACAGACAGTCCTGTTCTAACTGGCCCCAAACTACAGAAAGGATGTGAATGAAGGGCGTGTTTTTACACGTGTGTGATTCAGTCCTAGAGCTGACAACAGAGAGTGACAATGTTATATGCCAGTCAGATTAGTTAATAAAATAATCCAATTATCCCAACATCTCCATACCCTTTATTTACCAGACTGACTTATGTGACACTTTAACTGTAGACAGTGGGGCCTTTAGTGGATCCGTCTTACTTCAAGTTCTTTATCCAGTCCCCGTTATGTTAAGGAAATCTGAAAAATGATTCTCTATCCTACATTAGTGCGTTTAATATTCCTTCTTATGTTACCTGTCTACATCCTGTCTCAGTTAGACAGCCTCCATGATGCCATATCGCTGATAAGTTATTAGTTTATACGTAATCACAGATATTTAACATTTTGGATCAATTTTGGGTTAGCAGAGACAATGGCGTAGCGTGGGTTTTCAGCGCCTGTGGCAAGGCAAGTATTGCGTCCCCTAACCCGTGGACCGTTAACAATTCCCAAGTCCCTCAACGGGCGCCTAGATAACCTAACTCCTCGTTCCCTACCCGCCTTGTCTCTGTGATGTGTGTGACACTGATAGTTGTGGTGTTGCATAATTTGTTTAGTCCATCTCACACCTAAAGTAAATTGTATACACTATATACATTTCTTTAGGCATAAAGTGGATTTTAAAAATTACACAACGCAACTATCGGTGTCACACATGTCATGGACACAAGGTGGGTAGGGAAGGAGGATCGAGGTTATCTAGGCACCCGTTACCGGCGTACCGGTATGATACCATTTAATCGGCATTTACATAATGCCTATTAAATAACGTGGTTTCCCATTTGAAGATACCATAGGTATCTTTACATGAGAAATTATGCGATTAATATTCATTGTGTAATTCAATTTACTATATTTTTTTATCTAGAATAATGAGATTATTTTTTATTGAAAATAATCATACGATATTAATTATTTTACAATTCTAGTTTCTCTATAACCCTTTGATTGTTATGTGCATCTCATTCTTCATATTATAACTTTACTGACAGAATTGGTGGTGATGTCCCATGTACACTGTTATTGATAGGAAGCTGTGTGCTGTAATGTCAATTTTACAACAGCTGTAAAGCAGTTTTTACAATCTTAGCACATAATAAATACATACTGGCGTACGTGATCATCCCTGCTTGAATAGTTAGACAGTGATTTTATCTCCAGTATGAAGTCGTTACTCCATATCAATATCATGTTTAGCAAAACTGTTTTGTCTCTTCAAGATAGGAGATGGGTCCTTTTCATGGTTTCCCTAAAATGAAACCATTAGTGATTTGACTGAACAAGAGGATTTGTATTCAATTCCTACAAAATGAGGAAGAGACCAGGACGAGCACGCAGTCCAGGAACAGCCCATGATGAAGTCTTAATCAAGTTCACAGAGGTGGGTAACTTTGCCCTGAACAGGGGTTACCAACCCAGTACTCAAGAACCCCCTACCAGTCGAGGATTTAGGGATTACCTAAAACATTTTTGAATAACAAGGTATCCCTATATCCTATAATTTCATATGTTTTAATATTTGCTCAGATTTTCTTTTATTATTAAAAATGAATCAGGATTTATAACAAATCTTGAGTAAGTTATGCCACAAATGGAACTCATCATCACACAAGTCAAACAAACAGTTCATCTACCGTGACCAATGGAATGCTGTGAGGAGATAAACAGCGCATCCGTCGCTGGATTCTCAGGATCTGATTGGCCACTGGCACCACGTGTTATGATCGTAAACAATAACTACCCTTAAAGAATATTATAAACAAACTTGTGATACAATTCCAAAATGGCTGTCTTCACTCAAATTCAGATATTTTACTGGTAATTGTATCTAAACTTACTATAATTTGTATACATGTAAACTGCAATATCTGGTGTTATGTGCTGAAACCGATATTTGTAAATACATTTTCAGATGATGAGCCCATTATAAGTCAGAAAAAACAGTAAAGCTCCTTTAATTAAAAAGGTTTGGTTTTAAAGGAGGAAGCAACGTTAGAAAGGTTGGCTGGTCCACTTTATAAGGAGGTGACCAATTGTTGGAAAGGATGGGAAATATTCTACACCTAGCTAGCCCATACATATTAAATGATATGTGACATAATTATGGTTTACTGTGTTGGTGACATTCATTGCTCTTCTTCTCTTAGTACGTCGGTTCGTTTGCTGTCAAGGAATCTGATTGGAGGAAAAGAGTGTGGATCATTGAAGAACAGATGCGTTCTCTTAAGGTGAGTAAAATTGGAAATACAGTGACTTGATCATCATTAAGAACAAAAAATCAACAAAAGGCAACATGCATCGGTAAGAAGGGTTCAACGTTAATTCCAAATTTTTAAACAAAATAGACTGAAAGAAACAGATGACTTGGAAAATAGTTGCAACTCGCATATTATGGGCTAAAATTTTAAACTGATTTAAATTCCTGACAAGTGCCCTTTTTACATTATAAAATATCTATAATTCCCACTTTTAATGCATTAATCATAAACAGGTGGCCCCTTAAACCCCTCTACATCAAATCTATAGGGTCTAGCTGCACTATATCATGGGAGATGGGAGGTTTCGCATTCTCAAATTTGTCTGAATTCTCCCTCTTGATCCTTCGCTTAGCACGGTAATTACTAAAATGTGAACTGTGAGTTATTAAAAGTAAATATAACGTAACTTTCAAAATTTGGCTAAAAACTATTTCACATCTTTGTTTTGAGTTTGTCTATTTTAGGATAAAATGTGAAATTCAATTCAAATTCCCAACATTTCAGACTTAAATTAATTATCCTGACTGTGTTAGAGGTTTACTTTCTAAAACAAAGTAGAATTTGTAGTAGTATCCAATAAGTTGACACAGGGCAGGTAGTACACAGAGCAGTGTGACGGTGGAAGCAGTAAAGATTAACAGTGATATTGAAAAACGTAGATCCACTTAAAGCAATACCGACTAACAGTGATCCTGAAAGAGTAGTAGATACTTGGAATAGCCTTCCAGTGGAATCAGTAGAGGTAAACACAACTGGCATGTCCTCTCATAGTATGAGAGCAGCTGACTTAAAATAACACCGGACAGCAGTTTATAATAAAGTGTATTGGCTCGGCTGACCCTGATAATGTATCCCTGCAGGACTGCCCCAGGCGGAGGGCTGTGATTCTCCGATTCTGTCTTCAGGGAGTGAAGATGTATGATGCAGAAAATGAGGTATTATACACTGATAGAGACACCCAGGACTTTACCCTTGTACAACACTACTGGAAAATTACAACATAACCTTTAACTGATTAAACGCAATCTCCCAGCATACTGAAATCTGTTTATATTACAACATGGTGGGTGAGTCAGCCTTTATAAAAAAAATAAAACATTTTTTTATTGAACTGGCTTGATATAAACATCCCATGGATGAGCCAGCACTCACATCTGAGCGAGCTAACCTGACTCTTGATGGCTTAGAGTTACAAATGATATAGATCTATTTATATAGTAATGTTTCTTGTATGGATAGTGATCATTGTGAATCAGAAATCACATCTCTCCACGCTAATCTGACTCTCAATCTTCTGTGGTTAAAAATGAAACAGACCTATTTATATGTTAATGTTTCCTGTATCTGTCCACAATATATTAAATAGATACTAGGGAAATACTTGGGGGATACGGTTTAGATCAGCACTCACATGTCTGCGAGCTAATCTAACTCTCAGTCTCCAATGGTTATAAATTATATAGACCTATTTATATATTAATGTTTCCTATATCTCTCTACACTAATCTGACTCTCAAGCTCCCGTGGTTATAAATTATATTGACCTATTTATATATTAAAGGGATACTGAGGGGATACAAAGTGATCTGTTTACATCAGCACCCACATCTCTTCATGCAAATCTGACTCTCAATACCTTTAGGTTATAAATGGCATAGATTTAGTTCTATATTAATGTTTCCTGCATAAATACATACTGGGTTATTTACTAAAATGAAAAATGTCAGGCATTGAAAGTGAATTTCAAATCTAAGGACAAAGTAGGCACACTGGAAAAGTCTCCAATTATGCTTCCAGTTTGGCTACTTTGGCCTCTTACACTTCATTAAATAACACTGATAGTGGTCAGTGTGAGTCAGTGTCCATCCCTGCAAGCTAACCTGACGTTTAATGTCCCAATGTCATAAATGATTTAGGCCTCTTCATAAACCCTTTTAGATACTGTTGATGGCCCACGCTCTCCGAAGAATTCAGTACACCACCTGCCGCCCTGAAGACTGCCAGTTTGCCTTTGTGTCCCATAATCCACAGAGCTCTTCTCATCAACTTTTCTGCCATCTGTTTGCTGTCAGCCAACCTTACGAGGTATGTTAGCCAGCCTAGAAAAACACATTACCCAGCCAAGCAAGGTATGTTAGCCAGCCTAGAGAAGCATGCTAGCCATCCAAGTAAGGTACCATAGCCAAGCCAGCCTAGACAAGCATGCTAGCCAACCAAGCGAGGTGTCATAGCCAACCTAGAAAAGCATGCTAGTCAACCAAGCGAGGTACCATAGCCAGCCTAGAGAAGCATGCTAGCCAACCAAGCGAGGTATTATAGCCAGCCTAGAGAAGCATGCCAGCCAACCAAGCAAGGTACCATAGCCACGCCAGCCTGGACAAGCATGCTAGCCAACCTAGAAAAGCATGCATACAACCAACCGAGGTACCATAGCCAGCCTAGAGAAGCATGCTAGCCAACCAAGCGAGGTATCATAGCCAACCTAGAGAAACATGCTAGCCAACCAAGCGAGGTATCAAAGCCAGCCTAGCAAAGCATGCTAGTCAACCAAGCAAGGTATCATAGCTAGCCTAGAGAAGCATGCTAGCCAACCAAGTGAGGTATCATAGCCAGTCTAGAGAAGCATGCTAGCCAACCAAGTGAGACTTCAGAGCCGGGCCCATTACTCCCGTTAAGGGGAAATCCTGATTTCCCGGCTGACGAACAGGGCCCAGTGGGGAGGGTGATGAGACACTTTAGGTTCCCACGAAGTAGCGATGTGCTGAGAACACGATGTGGTGAACCCACTGGACAACCATTTTCCAGGCACAACACACACTTGTACACTCCATTATGAGGGCACCTCCTCGATCCCCCGAAAGTCATGTTTAACCAGGGACATAACAGATTTTTAGTTCATGTGTCTATATGACTCAATGGTACCTAAGAGCATTTTGGTAATATATAACATGCTGGCAGTGGGACGATACCTGCTAGCTCCCCAATGCATGAGGATGTGGGAGGAGGACCTCCAGCAATCATTTTCGAATGAGGAGTGGGACAAGATGATTGGATTGATACAGAAGAACCCGGTGTCGGTCAGAGTACAGGAGAACTCATACAAAATATTTGCAGCTTGATCAAACCAGATGCAACCAATCAATATCAGGAACGTGCTGGCGGTGCGAAGAGGAATAGGGCATGTTTATTCACTTATAGTGGAACTGTAGACTACTTAAACCATATTTGGAGGCAATCAGTCATGTACATAGTGACCTGTTGGAGGAGCCCCTCTCCCTAGAACTGGCAACATTCCTGCTACATCACACTCAACTACCACTACGAGTCTATAAGCGCTAAGTGACTTCAAGTGTCTTAAATGCAGCAAAGGTGTTGGTGCCACGGTTATGGAGACAGACATGTACTCCTCCACTGCGGCAATGGAGGAGATCAAAGAAAGAAGGAAATTTGAAGACCTAACATTTGTCTCCATTTGAGATAGGAAGCGATACACCCAATGCTGGTTCTACTGGCTTGAATTCCTGTATTCAGACCATTTTGCTCAATTTGGATGGGCTCCTGAGCTGTGAGATATGAGGAGAGGCCAATGTTCGGCTGACCTGGAACCCGCTGAGAATGAACAAACCTGATCAGAAATCAACTGCATCATCCTCTGCCTGCACCTCTGGCGCCCTCTTTCTTCCCTCCTCTATCCTCTTTTTCTCTCGAACCAACAGGTGGGCACACCGCAGGGGCAGCTTGGCCGCTTAAATGCCCTTTTCTCTGCATAGAAGCTTGGTGCTCCAACCTCACATGGGTACAAGTGTCAAGGTCAAGTCTAAAACTTGATAAAGGCTCAAAGAGGAGCTGAAACGTTGTCTCCTTGTGTGCCTGGATATTTATTTTTTTCCATGTGATGTCTTCAGGGATTGGCCTCCCTTTCTGGAGCACCCTGCAGGAAGTATTGCCCCCTTTTTTTAGTGTGTGCATTTTACTCTTGTTTTTTTGCAAACAACTGTAGTGCGGTATGATAGTCAGTCTATCATAGAAAGGTATGGTATACAGCCGAGCAAAGTATTATAGTCAGTCTATCTTTAGAGAGGAATGGTATCCAGCCTAGAGAAGCATGAAAGCCAGTCTATCATAGAGAGGAATGGTATCCAGCCTAGTGAGGTATGAGAAACAGCCTATCGTAGAGAGGAATGGTATCCAGCCTAGTGAGGTATGAGAGCCAGCCTATAGTAGAGAGAAATGGTATCCAGCCTAGTGAGGTATGAGAGCCAGCCTGTTGTAGAGAGGAATGATATCCAGACTAGCGAGGTATGATAGTTAGAGTCTATCATTGGAGAGGGATGGTATCCAGCCTAGTGAGGCATGAGAGTCAGCCTATCGTAGAGAGGAATGGTATCCAGCCTAGTGAGGTATGAGAGCCAGCCTATAGTAGAGAGAAATGGTATCCAGCCTAGTGAGGTATGAGAGTCAGCCTATCGTAGAGAGGAATGGTATCCAGCCTAGTGAGGTATGAGAGCCAGCCTATAGTAGAGAGGAATGGTATCCAGCCTAGTGAGGTATGAGAGCCAGTCTATAGTAGAGAGGAATGGTATCCAGCCTAGTGAGGTATGAGAGCCAGGATGTTGTAGAGAGGAATGGTATCCAGCCTAGTGAGGTATGAGAGCCAGCCTATCATAGAGAGAAATGGTATCCAGCCTAGTGAGGTATGAGAGCCAGTCTGTTGTAGAGAGGAATGGTATCCAGCCTAGTGAGGTATGAGAGCCAGCCTATAGTAGAGAGAAATGGTATCCAGCCTAGTGAGGTATGAGAGCCAGCCTATAGTAGAGAGGAATGGTATCCAGCCTAGTGAGGTATGATAGTTAGTCTATCATAGAGAGGAATGGTATCCAGCCTAGTGAGGTATGAGAGCCAGTCTGTTGTAGAGAGGAATGGTATCCAGCCTAGTGGGGTATGAGAGCCAGTCTGTTGTAGAGAGGAATGGTATCCAGCCTAGTGAGGTATGAGAGCCAGTCTGTTGTAGAGAGGAATGGTATCCAGCCTAGTGGGGTATGAGAGCCAGCCTATAGTAGAGAGAAATGGTATCCAGCCTAGTGAGGGATGAGAGCCAGCCTATAGTAGAGAGGAATGGTATCCAGCCTAGTGAGGTATGAGAGCCAGGATGTTGTAGAGAGGAATGGTATCCAGCCTAGTGAGGTATGATAGTTAGTTTATCATAGAGAGGAATGGTATCCAGTCTAGTGAGGTATGAGAGCCAGCCTGTTGTAGAGAGGAATGATATCCAGCCTAGCGAGGTATGATAGTTAGAGTCTATCATTGGAGAGGGATGGTATCCAGCCTAGTGAGGTATGAGAGCCAGCCTATCATAGATAGGAATGGTATCCAGCCTAGTGAGGTATGAGAGCCAGCCTATCATAGAGAGAAATGGTATCCAGCCTAGTGAGGTATGAGAGCCAGCCTATAGTAGAGAGGAATGGTATCCAGCCTAGTGAGGTATGAGAGCCAGTCTATTGTAGATAGGAATGGTATCCAGCCTACTGAGGTATGAGAGCCAGCCTATCATAGAGAGAAATGGTATCCAGCCTAGTGAGGTATGAGAGCCAGTCTATTGTAGAGTGGAATGGTATCCAGCCTAGTGAGGTATGAGAGCCAGTCTATTGTAGAGTGGAATGGTATCCAGCCTAGCGAGGTATGAGAGCCAGTCTATTGTAGAGAGGAATGGTATCCAGCCTAGTGAGGTATGAGAGCCAGTCTATTGTAGAGAGGAATGGTATCCACCCTAGTGAGGTATGAGAGCCAGTCTATTGTAGAGTGGAATGGTATCCAGCCTAGCGAGGTATGAGAGCCAGTCTATTGTAGAGAGGAATGGTATCCAGCCTACTGAGGTATGAGAGCCAGCCTATCATAGAGAGAAATGGTATCCAGCCTAGTGAGGTATGAGAGCCAGTCTATTGTAGAGAGGAATGGTATCCAGCCTAGTGAGGTATGAGAGCCAGTCTATTGTAGAGAGGAATGGTATCCAGCCTAGTGAGGTATGAGAGCCAGTCTATTGTAGAGTGGAATGGTATCCAGCCTAGCGAGGTATGAGAGGAATGGTATCCAGCCTAGCGAGGTATGAGAGGAATGGTATCCAGCCTAGTGAGGTATGAGAGCCAGTCTATCATGGAGAAGCATGCTATCAAGCCTAAAAATGTTAAACTTAGTAAACTGGTTAAGTTACAGTCATCGGCCTATCTAGGTATGCTAGCCAATCTAATGCAGTATGGTGGCCTGCCTAATGTAATATGTTATTTGTTGTCAATGCTATTCTGCTAATAAACTTTTCCAGGAGTTTATTGCATCCTTCTCTCTCCAGGCTCATGGATTAAATCTTCTCTTGTGCCGCTCCTTCCAACTTGAGTACCTGGTTCGGCACCCCGAGGTACGTGACGTGGAGCCCTCCACCGTGCAAACAGCATTCAAAACCCCCCAGAGAAAAGCATCTGAAGAGGATTTTGTAAGGAAGCCCCTAGATCCTGGATTGGTGTCTCAAAACATTAACGCCTTGATATCTTTTCGCCACCTGCCACGGACTGAACACTATGACTCCTCCAGCAGCCACGTGAGTTATAACTATTATTTCACCACTGGTAGGCACAGTCACGTGTCAAAAAATTTCCCTTTACTTCACTCCTGCAAATGTGGACTCAGTGACACGGCTCATAAGTTCCCAAGCCAGAGCAGATTTGAGCAACAGAGCAGACCAACAGGACTGCTCACTAAAATGGAAACTGGGGATTGATTGACCATGGTATTGATCATTTTAGGCTAAACTTCAGAACGTAAAAAATGCCAACTCTTTTCTCTCTTTGTTAGTTTGGCTATAAATTACATTTTTCACACCATATTTCCTGTATTTCTGAGTTAGTGAATGATCTCAATGTTTTACCAGCTGCACAAGAAATATTATAAAATTCTGCAAAGCAGAATGTATTCACTAAAGAGTAAGTCATGGATAGCTGATAGCCACATTGCAAATTGTAGTCCAGAAGAGTAATATTGTGAAAAAGTCTGCAAATTGGCAAAGTTGTCAGTTTGCTTAAACAATAGTTAATTACTTGATCATAAAAATTACAGTAGAAGTAAATCTAACCCTCACTTAGTAAAATAAAATAATAATAATTATTATTATATATGAGTTCCAGCCAACTTGTAGTTTAGGGAATAATTCCCTAGTGATATTACTGAAATGTTGGCTAAACTGGGGAAACGTATAGTGACCATGCAAGGATGTAGAATGCTAGTAATGTGAATACAGAACATGTACTCTAAGCCTCTACACTCAACGTGACTGGTTGCATTGCGTAAATGGAATCCTGTCTCTTAGCAGGTATCTAAGGCCACAAGAATCCCACGAAGCTCTTCACTGGAATCTCCATATTGCTCACCAACATTGGTTCGGAAAAAAGCCATTCGGAGCAAAGTCCTCCGATCCGGTGCCTATCGCTCCCCTAATTATGAGTCCTTACTCCAGCGAGAGACAGAGGAGCAAAGTCCCCCTGGTAATCATCAAGCCTCCATTCTTTTCCTCTCAAAGTGTTATTCACAGACTTGTGCTAATCCAGGGTGTATGTGGACTATAGTGAATAACCGTCAGTAGGAGTAGAAAGTACTCCACACTCCTTATGAGTAAAGACTACTCTCGTCCTAATTCCAGCACTCAACATGAGTAAAGATTACTCCTTTAGATTCTCATTCCCTGTATGACTTAAGACTACTTTATCTGACTGACACATGACATGTATCAAGGCTACTCTACTCTTACACTCAGCATGAGTAAGGCCTATACGACTCGATCCTCACACTCAACGAGGGTAAAAACTACTGAAATCAAGCCAAGTTGTATTAGCACAGCAGCACATAAAAGGCAGGGCTCCATATTGAAGCCCTACTCTGTATTGTATTATTAGTACAAATATAAAGATCTCAAAGGCAAACATGGCTGCAGAACAAGAGAGAGAAGAAGTGAAGAAAGACAGGAAGATAACACGCCACCTCTCCAGCACCATAGAGTATAAACAATCGAATGTCTCCACCAATAGCAATATGTTCACACGACTCTCACACTCAAATAAATGGGGGAATTCAGTAATGGAGTTTTTCACTAAACTGGACATTTTGGAAAATTGAGAAAATAATTACACATTTTAGATCAAAATAAGCAAATTGGGAAAAAAAATATCCAACTCAAAAATATTTACCTAAAATGTTCAATTTTCCTTTAATGAACAACCCTCCCATAAAGTAATCTGGGCAATGTAGAGGCAATACATTGGAGGTAATTCACACAATTCACTATCCTTCAAAATTGCCAGATTCTGAATTAGTCTCTTCATATTTACTATGGCACATTCAGTGATCAGAAGTCACCGATATAGTCCTGACACGGTTACAAGCAGACACTGATATAGTACTGACACAGTTACAGGCAGTCAGTGATACAGTCCTGACACTGTTACAGGCAGTCACTAATATAGTACTGACACTGTTACAGGCAGTCACTGATATAGTACTGACACGGTTACAGACAGTCAGTGATATAGTCCTGACACGGTTACAAGCAGTCAGTGATATAGTCCTGACACAGTTACAGGCAGTCAGAGATATAGTCCTGACACGTTACAGGCAGTCAGTGATATAGTACTGACACGGTTACAGGCAGTCAGTGATATAGTATTGACACGGTTACAGTCAGTCAGAGATATAGTCCTGACATGGTTACAGGCAGTCAGTGATATAGTACTGACATGGTTACAGGCAGTCACTGATATAGTACTGACATGGTTACAGGCAGTCACTGATATAGTCCTGACACGGTTACAGGCAGTCACTGATATAGTACTGACACAGTTACAGACAGTCACTGATATAGTCCTGACACGGTTACAGTCAGTCAGAGATATAGTCCTGACACAGTTACAGACAGTCAGTGATATAGTACTGACACGGTTACAGGCAGTCAGTGATATAGTCCTGACATGGTTACAGGCAGTCAGTGATATAGTACTGACACAGTTACAGACAGTCACCGATATAGTCCTGACACAGTTACAGGCAGTCAGTGATATAGTCCTGACACAGTTACAGGCAGTCAGTGATATAGTACTGACACGGTTACAGACAGTCAGTGATATAGTACTGACACGTTACAGACAGTCAGTGATATAGTACTGACACGTTACAGACAGTCAGTGATATAGTACTGACACAGTTACAGACAGTCACCGATATAGTCCTGACACAGTTACAGGCAGTCAGTGATATAGTCCTGACACAGTTACAGGCAGTCAATGATATGGTTACAGGAAGTCAGTGATATAGTACTGACACGGTTACAGGCAGTCAGTGATATAGTCCTGACATGGTTACAGGCAGTCAGTGATATAGTACTGACACAGTTACAGGCAGTCAGTGATATAGTAGTGAGACAGTCAGTGATATAATCCTGACATGTTACAGGCAGTCAGTGATATAATCCTGACACAGTTACAGGCAGTCAGTGATATAGTCCTGACACAGTTACAGGCAGTCAGTGATATAATCCTGACACAGTTACAGGCAGTCAGAGATATAGTCCTGACACATTTACAGGCAGTCAGTGATATAGTCCTTACACGGTTACAGGCAGTCAGTGATATAGTCCTTACACGGTTACAGGTAGTCAGGGATATAGTACTGACACAGTTACAGGCAGTCAGTGATATAGTCCTGACACGGTTACAGGCAGTCAGTGATATAGTACTGACACAGTTACAGGCAGTCAGTAATATAGTACTGAGACAGTCAGTGATATAATCCTGACACGTTACAGGCAGTCAGTGATTTAGTCCTGACACTGTTACAGGCAGTCAATGATATAGTACTGACACTGTTACAGGCAGTCACTGATATAGTACTGACACGTTACAGGCAGTCAGTGATATAGTCCTGACACGGTTACAGGCAGTCAGTGATATAGTACTGACACAGTTACAGACAGTCACTGATATAGTATTGACACGGTTACAGTCAGTCAGAGATATAGTCCTGACATGGTTACAGGCAGTCAGTGATATAGTACTGACATGGTTACAGGCAGTCAGTGATACAGTCCTGACACTGTTACAGGCAGTCACTGATATAGTACTGACACTGTTACAGGCAGTCACTGATATAGTACTGACACGTTACAGGCAGTCAGTGATATAGTCCTGACACGGTTACAAGCAGACACTGATAAAGTACTGACACAGTTACAGACAGTCACTGATATAGTCCTGACACGTTACAGGCAGTCAGTGATATAGTACTGACACGGTTACAGGCAGTCAGTGATATAGTACTGACACAGTTACAGACAGTCACTGATATAGTATTGACACGGTTACAGTCAGTCAGAGATATAGTCCTAACATGGTTACAGGCAGTCAGTGATATAGTACTGACATGGTTACAGGCAGTCACTGATATAGTACTGACATGGTTACAGGCAGTCACTGATATAGTACTGACATGGTTACAGGCAGTCACTGATATAGTCCTGACACGGTTACAGGCAGTCAGTGATATAGTACTGACATGGTTACAGGCAGTCACTGATATAGTCCTGACACGGTTACAAGCAGACACTGATATAGTACTGACACAGTTACAGACAGTCACTGATATAGTCCTGACACGGTTACAGTCAGTCAGAGATATAGTCCTGACACAGTTACAGGCAGTCAGTGATATAGTACTGACACAGTTACAGGCAGTCAGTGATATAGTACTGACACGGTTACAGGCAGTCAGTGATATAGTCCTGACATGGTTACAGGCAGTCAGTGATATAGTACTGACACAGTTACAGACAGTGACCGATATAGTCCTGACACAGTTACAGGCAGTCAGTGATATAGTCCTGACACAGTTACAGGCAGTCAGTGATATAGTACTGACACGTTACAGACAGTCAGTGATATAGTACTGACACGGTTACAGACAGTCAGTGATATAGTACTGACACGGTTACAGACAGTCCGTGATATAGTACTGACACAGTTACAGACAGTCACCGATATAGTCCTGACACAGTTACAGGCAGTCAGTGATATAGTCCTGACACAGTTACAGGCAGTCAGTGATATGGTTACAGGCAGTCAGTGATATACTACTGACACGGTTACAGGCAGTCAGTGATATAGTCCTGACATGGTTACAGGCAGTCAGTGATATAGTACTGACACAGTTACAGGCAGTCAGTGATATAGTAGTGAGACAGTCAGTGATATAATCCTGACATGTTACAGGCAGTCAGTGATATAATCCTGACACAGTTACAGGCAGTCAGTGATATAGTCCTGACACAGTTACAGGCAGTCAGTGATATAATCCTGACACAGTTACAGGCAGTCAGAGATATAGTCCTGACACAGTTACAGGCAGTCAGTGATATAGTCCTTACACGGTTACAGGCAGTCAGTGATATAGTCCTTACACGGTTACAGGTAGTCAGGGATATAGTACTGACACAGTTACAGGCAGTCAGTGATATAGTCCTGACACGGTTACAGGCAGTCAGTGATATAGTACTGACACAGTTACAGGCAGTCAGTAATATAGTACTGAGACAGTCAGTGATATAATCCTGACACGTTACAGGCAGTCAGTGATATAGTCCTGACACAGTTACAGGCAGTCAGTGATATAGTCCTGACACAGTTACAGTCAGTCAGTGATATAATCCTGACACAGTTACAGGCAGTCAGAGATATAGTACTGACATTGTTAAAGGCAGTCAGTGATATAGTCCTGACACAGTTACAGGCAGTCAGTGATATGGTCCTGACACAGTTACAGTCAGTCAGTGATATAATCCTGACACAGTTACAGGCAGTCAGAGATATAGTACTGACATTGTTACAGACAGTCAGTGATATAGTCCTGACATGGTTACAGACAGTCAGTGATATGGTCCTGACACAGTTACAGTCAGTCAGTGATATAATCCTGACACAGTTACAGGCAGTCAGTGATATAGTCCTGACATGGTTACAGGCAGTCAGTGATATAGTACTGACACAGTTACAGGCAGTCAGTGATATAGTACTGACATTGTTACAGACAGTCAGTGATATAGTACTGACACAGTTACAGGCAGTCAGTAATATAGTACTGAGACAGTCAGTGATATAATCCTGACACGTTACAGGCAGTCAGTGATATAGTCCTGACACAGTTACAGGCAGTCAGTGATATAGTCCTGACACAGTTACAGGCAGTCAGTGATATAATCCTGACACAGTTACAGGCAGTCAGAGATATAATCCTGACACAGTTACAGGCAGTCAGTGATATAGTCCTGACATGGTTACAGGCAGGCAGTGATATAGTACTGACACAGTTACAGGCAGTCAGTGATATAGTACTGACATTGTTACAGACAGTCAGTGATATAATCCTGACACAGTTACAGGCAGTCAGAGATATAGTACTGACATTGTTACAGACAGTCAGTGATATAATCCTGACACAGTTACAGGCAGTCAGTGATATAGTCCTGACATGGTTACAGGCAGGCAGTGATATAGTACTGACACAGTTACAGGCAGTCAGTGATATAGTACTGACATTGTTACA